TGCTTGCAGCTCTCATCTTCAAGTCTCTGCCCCAACTTAGGAGCAGGTGCTCTCTCTCTGGTGTTGCTGCCGACATTGTCTGGCAGGTAGGGCAGGATGAGGGTATGGTGTTCCTTGGTGGGCAGGCTGGAGAGATTGTATTCCTCCATCCTGTTTCCACCGCACACTTGGGACTTCACATGAACTGTCCCATCCAGGCAGCTCGCCCTGGAGGGAGAAGGGACGGCGGCTCAGCTCAGACAAGGTCTGAATTTTGCTGCAGCGTTTATAAAAATAAAAATCTCACTTCTAGCTATCAACCCAGCCGGCCACTCGGTCCCTTCTGCTGGAGGTCGGTGCCCCAGTTCTGTGTGGTGTGTTAGCTTAGCCTGTCTTCGCTAGCACTGATGGACTGGCACAAGGCTTCATACTGCTCTCCTTATTTCAGAATACATTAACGGAGTGGGATGGGTGGCTGGGCCCAGAATGCCTTAAGCTTTGAGCTTTCTTTTTTTTTTTACTGATTTGTGAATTGTTTGGAGTATACTGAAACTGCATGGGTGAAATTCAGATGGGCAGGTGTTGCTAGCCCTTCTATAACCCAGGAAAAAAACCAGAGGGAGGTGTAAACTATGAGTGTACTTGTTCAGCACTGCTCAAAGTCCTTGCACACCTGGAAATCACACACTTGACGGTGTGCAGTTGCTCTTCCAGAGTACTGTAACTGCAGTGGCCTCTGAGCAGGGGCTATCTATGTCCAGGCTGAATAAAGAAACTGCTCCCAAAAAGCAAGGCAGGCCCTGCCAGATCCATGCTGGTTCTGGAGGACACAATGGGGCAGGAATGTTGGCAGTTTTCTCAAGTGAAGTTCACTTAGAAAAAAAGCTGGGAAAAGTTAGACTCTGTGCCTCCCTTTTTGAGGACCAATGCTCCTTAAGCAACTGATACTCTTGCCCTTTGGTCTTCCAGAACATCGGCTGGTTTTGATACACTAGGCAGTGACATCCCTCATCAGAAAACCAAAGTTGTGATGTAATGAAAAAGTGGAACTCTTGAAGAAATATTAAACCTGTCACCACTATGGGTATAGTTTTTATAGCACTTTTTGTTCTAAAGCACTTAATACATTGTCCAAAATAGGCACCTAATTATATCCGAAATGCCACATTAAGAGTCTTTTTAGTAAACAATGAACACATTACGCACATGTCTTCCAGGAAGGAGTGGGGGGCAATGGGTAGGTTGGCTCGATTTCTGTTTTTTTCAGATGCCACAAACTACTAAGAATTGTAAGCTCTGGAGCAGGAAGGATCAAAATGCCTCTCCAGGGTTCCCAGGAGCTCCCAAGCACATGGTCAGTGCAGCAGCCAAACTCCCCACGCCTGGCACCCTGCCTAGGCTTCCTCTGAGGGGAGGGAGGGAGGAGAAAAACCTGTTGGTTGTTTCTAAGAAGAGTCAATGTGACACATTGCTGTTGGTGATATGTCAATACGAAAGCATGGTCTGTTCCCTTCCCAAAGGCCACATCTCGTGGCTTTGACTGTTGTCTGCAAAATGCTTCGATGTACAGGTGTACGGTTTTGTACATCGGTGTTAGACTCAGGTTCTGCCGCGCAGTCGGGCAGGATGCAGCAGCCCTTTGTTTGCAGGATTTCTGAGCTTTACACTTCATCTATAGCATTAACGTTCACCTCAGGGCACCTACACGAATGGGTGAAAGGCAGGAAACCTTTGCGAACCCAGAATGTCTTTGGTGGGTAGATGGAGATGTCCGTGTTCTCCCCTACTCTCACACCAGCATTAGCCAGTATCTCCATCCAGTTCATTTTGTCCAAAACCTTCAATCCTATTTTGCTGCCACCTCAAGTGAGAAAGTGAGGCTGCAGATTTCCATTTAACAAATCTTTTACATGAAACAGCCAGCCAGACAAGCGGGCTGTGGTGTCAGCAGTCCCTGCCAAATGGGAAAAACACTTTGGCTAATACCACAAATAACTGGTGCTTTTTTACTGTCCTGAAATGTGGTTCTTCTCTCAGGAGTATCTCCAGGGTTTTCATGTTTTTGCTACCTACCAGCTTGAGATCTTCTCGACTCTCTCCTGCTGCCAGGACGGTTTCCTCCTAATTTGACTGGTCATTTTTGCTGTGACAAGCATAAAAAGTTCAGCTTCCAGACCAAGGCTGGCTGTGCAATACTGACAGAAGAGAAAGTCAGGAAAGCTTTTCGTTATCCACATTACAATTGAGCTGAAACTGTGTATAATAACGTAATTAGTCTTTAGGACAGAACCCCAGTTCAAGGTAGGGAGGACAAATAGGAGTAGGAGTGATAAACACAGATGGCTTATCGTGTAGCTCCTTCCGAAAGTCTGGAAAAATCACTGTTGGCAAAGCAATGTGAAGCTGATAATCTCTTTGGGATGGGCAGTACTGGCGTGGGTGAAGGCAATGGAATGACTAGCTTGTATTGAACGAATGACACTTTATAAAACTGTGATTTCTTGAAATTAATATTTTTGACCTGCATTTTCACAGGGAAAAAAAAAATAAAGCTGGAAAAAAAGATTCTTCATTCTCATTGCTAGTGGTTTGACATGCTCTCCAGGATAACAAGACAATGGTGCTGAATAAGACATTTTTCAAGAAGGGAACCCTGGTCTGATTAAACTCTGTTATATATTGTATATTCCCCTTGGTTTTGGGGGATGCAGGGAGAAGTCATTTCTGGGTATGAAGAGGCAGCAAGAATTTGGATGGATCTGAGCACAGAATTTGGTAAATATACTGGCGTCTCTCTCTCTTTCCAAGCAGATAGTCCCTTTTCCTCCTGTTCCATTGCAGGCGGAGGAATTTACTGTACTGGGAGCTGCCGAATCTTCCCCTTGATGGTGCAAAAGTCAGTCTGGGATCCAGAGGTACCAGGTTAGGCAGAGCTCTGGAGATTCACCCACACCTTTCACTGTTGGCGCAGGAGCTGTTTGTCTCCGCTTCGGTGGTGCATTTCTGTTAAATCAAAACCAAGGTGGGTGTTTTGTCACTAGCCTTCCCTGTAAAGATATGGATCAGATAGGATCAGTTGGATCACCTCTTGTCTCTGAGGACAGCCCAGCTGAGCAGCAGGGTACAATAGCTCATGGTGGGCCTTTGTCCTGGACCTTTGTGCTGGATTTGGCCTCTCCATGAGCCCTCGGCTCCTCCATGCTGTAGCCTTCTCCTTAAGGACGCTTGTGAGGTGAGAAGTAGGACTGCCCCTGTTTTTTCCTTTCTGGTGTCCCGTGACACTCATTCCTCACGTTTTCAGCCCTTGGATCACGCCTGCCTAGAGGCTGCCAGTCCTGGAAGGAGCTGCAGGGCTGAGCAGAGCCTTGAAGTTACCCTATCCCCAGCTGCAGTCATGGGCAAGTCAGAAATACGTCTTCTGCTTAAAAATGCTCAAAGGAGCATGGCCACCGCTCCTGGCAGCTGCTCCTTACACAGGAGATACCACTTTGTTAGCGGAGCAACGAGCGTTTTTTGCATCCCTCCCTCCTTCCCTCCATCCATCCAGCGCACCATCACCCGCCCGTGCAAAGCTTCACCCCTTCTCACAGACAAGAGCTTTACCCTTAGAGTCCATTTATTACCAGTTCTACTTGAGGTTAAGGTATATAAAAATAATGTATACAAAGTAGCAGTTAATGTTTTCACATTTCTGGCTTAAAGGCATTTATAAGTTACACATTCATTTCCCTTCTCTCCCCTCTGAACTTGTGTGTGATAGTGAGCCGGTTGGCGCTGAGCGTCTTAATTAATTACAGCAGGAAGCGATCGCTGCTTTGACTTACAGCGAGGACTTACCCTGGGCTAAAAGCTGGGGCTAACGAGAATGTACGACAGCTACGTGTCCTCGCAGGGGCCATTTAACGAAGGAAACGCATTAACAAGTTAATTGCGATAGTGCATGGTTTGGATTTACTCAGCAGCAGCAGCAGGGCAGGGGAAGGAATTGAGTCCAGTGCGTTATTTGGAGACTTGTGCAGCGCTCTGGCCTCTTCGTCCTGTGTGATTTCAGCAGTGACCCTGCAGCGTTTTGGGATCGTGGTGTTTGCTGCGAGGGCTGGAGGCTGCTTAGCACCCGCTGCACGTCGCGTCCTGCGACTCCTGGCTGACGGGGAGCAGCCTGGTGCTCCCCGAGGGCTGACGGTCACTGCTGTCTCCGAGAGGCTCCAGCCCCGACGGCGAGGGCAGAGTTAGGTATCGCCTTGCAGGGACTCGAGCACGGTAAATCCTTGACCCTGCTGCTCACTGTTGTAGCTACAGAGCCTCCCCTGCGGCAAGGAACAGATCCACTGCAGCCTTAGGATCCTGGGGAGACCCCTTTTATGGATGTTCCAGTCCCCGCTCCCATAGCACAGAGAAATTTTAAGGAAGACATATAAAAATCACTGTAAAATAGCACCCCTGCCAGCTCCTGGGGTATGGGAAGTGCCCAGGGTGGGATCTTTGCAGCAGGCTCCTTGCTGGAGAGGAGACGCAGCCCGTGGCTGCTGGGCTCTGCGGTGGGAGAGCTCGGATCTCAGAGAGATGGGGGAGATGTTCAGGGACCGCTGCGGCCCCGGTGTACAACCCCCCACCCCTCCTGCAGCGGGAAATCAAAGGCACCAGCAAGCTGAAGAGTGGGGCACGCCAGTGAGACAGGCGTGCGATGGAGCAGCTCTGGGGTAGGGATGGGGCAGCCCTTCTTTTCCTTCCAGGACAATTTGGGGCCCTTTCTGTGCTCCCCTCCTCCCTGCCCAGCACCAGGAGGTTCCCCCAGCCCTGCCAGCCTGGAGGAGAGGAGCTCGGAGGCATTGCTAAGCAAGCACCGGGGAATCCCTGCACCGGACCCAAGGGCATGCGGGGTGTCGCTAAGCGGCTGGAGCAGCTAGGAGCAGGCACCATCCCTCCACCCCACATCATCCTGGGCCGGTGGGTTGATGTCCTGCGGTCCCATCTGGAGGATGGTCCTGAGCCAGTCCTGGCAGCTGCAGGGACAGCGCTGGTCACAGCGAGATGTCTGGCATCACCTGCAGGCTTTGCCCCGCAGCCCGTTTCTTGGCACTGCCGCGGCCCTTGTCTGCACGCCGGTAGGGATTGTTCCGTAGATCTGCACCGGGAGAAAGCGCAGAGGCTGGATGAGCTCCGCCTGCTCGCCCCGGCAAAGGCTGGGACCCAGTCACCCCACCACCGCCACCCAGCAGTCACCCCATTTGGGTACAGGGGTGCGCAGGAGAAGCCCGACCCACTGCATGCAAAGACAGAAGGAGCGGCTACGACCAAGCAGCCTGTGGGACCCCCATCCCTCGACTTTTTCAGTGCTGTGGGGCTGATGCCGTGGTGCCTCTGGGTTTGGTTTTCCACGTGGGGCAGACTGTGGCCGATTTGCCACGCAGCTGGAGGTGACGATGGGCCCAGAAACCCAGGGGGGTGGCAAAGTCTGGCAGCCCCTGCCTGCGCGGTGCCCCAGCCCGGCTGCCCCCACGTTACCTACAGAGGACTCTCCTCGTTGAAGCTCACGTCGCAGAAGAGCCGGGACGAGCGCTTGCCCGTCCGGGCCGTGAAAGGAACAGTTTTCAAAGCTGAGCAGAGCAATCCAGAGAGAGATAGCGAGGAGGAGGAGGAGAAAGGAGGAAGAAGCAGAAGAGGAGGAAGAGCTATGAGATATGGCAGAGACCTCTCGACATCTTTGCCGCAGGGGATGGGAAGGTGCTACAGGTGGGTTTGGTCCCCACAATGGGGTTTTTTTTTTTTGTGACAGCTCCCCCCAGTCCCCCATCACCGAGGGTCTCCCTGCTGGCACCAAGCGCTGGGTCTGCTGCAGGGGGGACGCCCACCCGCTCACCTGAAATAATCTCTCACCTGAAATAATATCCTCGATGGCCCCGTCTTTGCCTTCGTAGATGAGCG